ACTTAATATTATAAATGCGAAAGTTTAGATTGATGGATGGATGTTTGTTAGAGTTTGTAGCTTTAACGGTTAAACGGATTTTGATGAAATTTGGTGTAGAAGTAGAGGATAGTCTGGAAGAACATACATTCACTTTTGTTTATTCTTTTATTTTCGCGGACGGCGTCGCGTGCGATAGCTATTTTATTATAAATGTGATTATACAAGTATAGGTTTTATAGTTATTTAATTTTTTGCAGCTATCATTGCTGAACGAGACTTTACGCAATCAACAACGAGTAAGTTTGATTTTAGTATGTTTGTATACCTATTTAATATTTTCTCTTCTTTTTTGCTTTTGCTCTACATGTAATTTGAATATTTCTTATCGCAGGCACTCCTGGATCTCGAAGGACACCTACATTACCCGTAACTAGAGGTTAGTACTTAATACTTTGACTAAATAGATTTTAATGTTGTTGATACGAAGTTAATGTTCTGTTCTTTAATATTACGATGATAGTTCCTCCTAACCGTTGCGTGGACTCTGGTCGGATATATCTTGAGGGTGAAACATGGAAGCGGGACAACTGCACCCTCTGCCAATGCCATCGCGCCCGCATGAATTGCTCCGTCATACCGGCCTGTCTTATCCGTAAGTTTTACTTATCAGAGTACAAAACAAATTAAGTATTTTTTTCATTTTTCATTTTTATTTGCCCGACTGACAAAGGAGAGTCAATAGATGGCGTTATTTTGTTTATGTTAGTCGGTATTTTTAAATAGATTATTCACAAAACTGTTTCTTTCCCAGCGCCTGCGACCAGTAGACCGATATACAACGCCGGGGCTTTACCGACTACACCAGTGAGAGGAGTACCCGGAACGCCTGGAGATGAGGGTCCATCAGGACCGCCGGGTGCACCGGGGGTCAGCGGCGTACCTGGTGCACCTGGTTCACCAGGACCGGCAGGACCTATGCCTGATGTAAAGTAGTTTTTCATTGTTATCTCACTAAAAAACTTACGCACAACTTTGACTAAATTAAATGATTGTCAATTGCTTGTACAACTAAAAATCGAGTAGTGTGCGCACCTCCATAAAGCAAAGGGATCGAAGCGAGTCTTAGGTGTTTTAGGTAAGAGTTTTAGGTGTGCGAACGCTCTAAGTCTTCCTTTCCTAGTAATCCCCTTTAAAATTAATCTTAAGTAATAAAAGAAAATGGTGTTCAGGTCAACGCTTATCTTGCACAACTAGCTGCAACCGCTGGCGGTGATAAAGGACCTGCATTTGACCCTTACCAGTACATGCAAGCACCAGTGGGTGTTCCGGGTATTAGAGGAATTCCGGGTAAGTCTAATTGTTGTTTTTAAATACCTTTATTCGTTTTATATCATGATAGTGTAATTTATCTTTATCGTAGGCCCTCAAGGCCCACCAGGACCACAGGGTTTCCAGGGACCTCGCGGCGAGCCCGGAGAGTCGGGCCTTCCCGGACCATTAGGTCCACCTGGTGAAAGAGGACCACCAGGTATTCCTGGGAAAGACGTACGTAAAACTGAATCCACAAATATGCTGTGTAAGGTTTGTTAACTTTATAAGCATATTTTGGATTTTAATTTTATTTGTTTTAGGGATCTCCGGGTGAAGATGGGGAGCCAGGTCCAGCTGGAGCGATAGGACAAACAGGTCCGAGAGGAACTCCAGGAGTTCCAGGGATACAGGGTCTGAAGGGTCATCGTGGATTTGATGGCAAAGATGGCGCTAAAGGCGAGCAAGGTTTCCCTGGAGAAAAAGGCCCTACCGGTCTACCCGGGCAAATGG